TAAATAAATAAATTAAATATATATGATTTTCTTCGTTTATAAATACGATAATTATCGAATCGTATTAGTTGTGACGAAATAAAAATTACTAAAAAAAATGTAAATTAAAAGTTTGATGATTTCTTCTCCGAATGAATAGAAAAACAAATCCGTAAAGTTTGAGCGATGTTTAATAAATTCGATTCAATCGAACGCTAAAATGATACGCCTGTAATATTAAACACTATAATTAAAAAAACAAAAAAACAAAAGTATTATTATTTGTTCAATTTATATAATAAAATAAAACGAATTGATTTTTCCTATCTTTAATTTTTCATTCAATAACATTATTTAAGAGAGAGTGATATATAGGTATGTATAAAAATAAATAATTATTCAAATGTAAATCTGAATATGTTAAACGAACCTATAAAATAAAACGAAAAAATGTACAAACAATAAAAGAAACGAAAAGAAGAAGAAGAAGAAAAAAGAAAAGAAATACGAAAGGAAAACAAATAAAAATTAATTTCGGAATAGATGAAAGAATAACGAAAATAATTTTGTGCTTTTTCTTTTTTTTACCTTACTTCCCGTTTTTTTTTCTTTTTTTTTTTTTTACGTTTATTTCTCGATCATGCGAAAGAGAGATAGAAATAATGAAGGGGAGGGGTCGTCGGAAAAAAAAAAAAGAAAAAAGAAGAATGAATTTTCGGTTCCACTTCTTAGTGGAACAGAAAAAAAAAGGTACGGAAAACTTTACCTGATTCCGATCAGACTTTTTCTTTCATTCACATACACATACTTACATATATATATATATACATACACATATAGATGTGTGAACAAAGCTACCCGTTTTAACGAAAATTTTACGGCGATTTGAGCGATAATCTTAGCACAAAAGGTAGATTAGTATGCCCAGGTTGTATCCCATACATTTGAAACTATTTCTTAGTTTGGTTGACCGATGATGTGTAATTATTGACCAACAAATGGAATGTGATGGGTAAATAATTTCGTTTCGGTAGATCAAATCGTAAAAAAAGATAATAGAAAGTAAACGTTTTTGAGAAACTTTTAACGAAAGACAATGATCTCTTTGTATGTGTATAAGATTTAAGAATTTATAATTATAAATAATCGTATGTGTGTGTGATCGCTTAATTTCAATTTATTTTTATATGAAAATTATATTTTCTTATATTATTATTTTACCATAAATTTATTTCAAAGATTTCCTTTACCTTTTGCATAATTTTGTACAACACCCAACTACCCCCCTTTTGTGTGTTACATAAATTTCTTTCACATACAAAAATATTATTTATTTATATATTGTAAATATATTTATTTGTATGTTCATTTTTCTTCTTCTTCTTCTTCTTCTTCTTCTTCTTCTTCTTCTTCTTCTTTACTACGATTGGTAGTTGAAAAAAGTGTAAAAAATCAGCTTAGAATTCGATGAAAGAAGTTGTTTGAGTGATGCAATGGTAAAAGTTGATATAAATATATACTCGAGAATGAAAAGCGTGACAAAATATTCTCACGAATGGAATACATACTTAAACGTATACTACGAAGAAAGAAAAAAAAAAAAAGAAAGGAAGAAAGAAAGGAATAAAGAAGAAGTATGCGGGATTTAGAATGAACCCAAACATCCAGGTTCCTCCTCGAACCCAAATCTGAATCCCAATACGGTGTTCGACTCCAAAGGAACTTCGAGTGTGCTCTTTTAACTCACATGAACGAACTCACTAATGGTAAGTGTTTTGTTACTCGTAAAACTCGTTTTATTTTCCCAAATTTTGTTTTTTTTTTTCTTTTACATCAACGTTTATCGATTACAACTTTTATTTGCATCAAAACAACCCTTTTATTTGTATCATATACAAAATTATTCATTCGATTGATTCCTTTTTGTTTATAATTATTAATTATTTTAAAAATGAGACAAATAACAA